TCATCCCTTCTGGGAGTGAATAGTTGTCAAGAGGTGTATGACTCATAGCCAATGCTTTTCATTACATACCAGGCACACATTCCTCTGCTTGTATCCACTTTTTAAGTACAGACAGTTGAACATCTATGGTTTGAAATCTGTGACACAGTACTACCAGAGCATCTCAACTTTGCAAGCTATGCATTTACCCCTTGCTGTAATTTAAGGATGTAGTCTTGGCATATTTTGGCCATACTTTCATCAGTAACCTACCAAGTTCATGTTGACTGAAGTGTGAATGTCTTGATCACTTAACAATTTCACCATAAAGATCCTTTGTCCATAGAAGACTACTAGTTTCAGCCATGGGAGATAATCAACATGACTCACAGTAAGACACACAAGGTTACTTTAAGTCAGTCAGTCTTCAATGTGCTGTAGTTCTCCAGTGGATTCTTCCTGTGATGAGTGAGTTAGTATGACATATCCTAGGTGCAAGTATTTCAGTTTTATGGCCTCTGTAGCAGCTTCAGCTGTCACATTTACTATGATTTTGAGGGCAAATAGATATCAATGGTTCTTAAGATATTTGTGGTAATCAGTTAGATGATAAAGCACACAGACTTTCATATTGGGAACTACTCAATGTGGAGCTTTAAGAGATTCTCTTGTACTCAGTCCTAGATAGCCTTGGAACTCACTAGTACCAGAGTCTTCTGATGCTACCAGTATCAAGCTGCAACTATGTGAGACACTGTGGAAGGGCCTTTCACATCATCAAACATTGCTCTAAATCAACGAAAAATGTGACTAAAATGCCTCAATACTATAAGGGTGTCTGAATAGCTCATGTTTACTTCTGTAATTCATCTTGATCTATTTGTAATAGTCTACCTTTTTTCTCAGCAAGCAGTGGCACAGCTTTCAGCCAACTGGTGAAGGCTGACCCTGTCCTATGCACAAGATAAACTGGCATGAATGGGGCACTACATATAATTGGAAGATCTGTAATATCTCTGCTTAGACGGTACAGACCTTTTCCTACATTACAACCAGTGGGATGAAATAACCTAACTGCTCTGATATCCATATATTTCTATCAATGAATTCCCAATTCTGTGAGCTCTTCTTCATCACTGGAAGAAGCTGTTTTACCTTTCAGTTTTTTTGGTTAGCCAATGTGTTCAGATGAAGACAAATTGGTTCTTCCCTTCATATTCAGGTCTGGCTCCTTTTTGCATGTAACAACCTTTTACAGTGTTACATTCAAATTTAATTAAACAACTCTGTTACTCATGTATATCAATAAACCTTGGCATGAAAACGTTTATAAATCAGATTTGTATATTATCTAAGTTTTAACTTCTTAATTTCAAAAAAGAAATATTTAAAAAGTTCTCTCAGTCTTCATCAGCTTGCTTGATACTTGCTACTGTTATGATACCATTTTGAAACTGAATAGCTTACTTTAACTCTCTCAGTATAAGCTCAGTCAATTTGACTGACCACATGACCTCTTTCTACTAGTATAAAGTCTTTATAGACTTGATACTACAAACTTTAACATAGTATGTATATCTTCACAAAATTTGGCAGTCTTTCAGTAAACATTAAAAATTACAAATTCATCCAAGCTAGCACAAGTTGTAAATCACTTGTCAGTTGTGTAGCTCACATTACCCTAATAACTTACATAATGCATAGGTTACTAGTGATCTGCTTGCCAGTGAATCTCATGAATTTTGTTTTTATTTTTTAATATTGTATTTCTTTATTTTACCTAATCTAACCTAAAAGGTTTCTAATTTTTACATGTTAGTTATTTTTATAATAATAAATAAAAAAATGCAAATGAAAAACAAGAAACATATTACTAGCCTTATTCATTACTTTTTTATTGCTCTTTGAACTGTATACAACTAATAATCCCACCACACAAGTTGTAAATCACTTGTCAAATGTATAGCTCACATTACCATATTAAATTACAGAATGCATGGGCTACTAGCGATCTGCTCACGAGTGTACCTCATGGATTTTTTTATATTATATTCAAAAATTGTACCTAATCTAACCTAAAAGGTTTGTAATTTTTACATTTTAGTTATTTTTATAATAATAAATAAAAATACACATGAAAAACAAGAAACATACAACTAGTCTTATTCATTACTTATTACTTTATCTTTTGATGTTCATGCATATTTTTTATTTATTATTACAAATGTAACTAAAATGTAAATTCAGAAACCATTTAGGTTAGATTAGGTAAAATAAATAATAATAATACAAAATTTGCACAAGGTACTCTCATTAACAGCTTGCAAGTAGCCTGTTCATTATAGGGTAACATGAATTACACATTCAGCAAGTGATTTACAAATTTCAATCGGACACGGTTCAAAGGGGAAATAAAACAACAAAATGTAAGTATAAATAGATGTATACTGTTATGAATTTAAAGTTATTTAGGGAAACAAATGTAGTTTCATGTTACAATCTGAAGTTATTTTAAAAAGAAAAAGGGTAATTTAGATTATTTTGTTTTTGGTGGTAATGAGGTTGGTCAAATTGATTAACCTGTTATAGAGTTAGGGTAGAGAAAATAACAGATAAAATATAAAGTTATACTTAAAAAACTTTAGAGACAATGCAAATGAAATTTAAGTTTTTTCAGATGAAGAAAAGTACTTTTAATCTTAACTTTGCACTATAAGCAGTCAACACTTCATTAAAAAATGTGAATTTCTGTCTACAAATGACTCTTAATGATTACTGAAATCTTGCAAAGTTTTGTCAAGCTACACAAAACATACTAAAAGTTATAGTATGGACACTATAAATGTCAATTTGGGGTGATGAACTTGACCACGCCTGTAGCAAGAGAGTTATCACAAACCCAATTGTCTCCTGGCTCATTCTCTGCTGCCCAGTGAGCCACCTCTTGTCTTTAGAATTTTTGTGAGAGCCACATGGTTTTTTGGAATACAGGGGTCTCAGCCCCATTAGCAAATTAATTCAGTCTCAAATCTCACCTATTACTTCAACATATGCCATCTCAGGCAATATATTTTGTGTCAGTCTTTCTTTAATTAGTAGTAATTATTTATCAGCAATTTGGCTTATGTGATATGCTCAACTGCTAATATTTGTCCTTATATGTAGCCTGTAATCCATTTTTATACAAAAAGTATAAACCAGAACATCTCTATGTGTAAAATTAAACATAAAAGAATAATCCAATATTCATCATTATACATAGTACAAAATCCATCTCTGTATGCACAATTTTACCAAATATTTATCTTTTTAAGTGTCAAAAAACTTGTTATCCTGTGTAATATAGAGCATACTAAGCCATAGATATATCATTTCATATTAATTTCCTTATGCAACAAAACCAATATCCTTCCTACTCTGTCAAAATCCACTGCAATATTTTTAGTATCTTTATAACATGCATCGATATCAATTAATCTATACACCT